AGGTCCTTTGTTTTTTCCTTAAGGACTTGCTTCCTTCTTATCTACCTCCCTGAAGGGATCTGATAGATAAGTTTCCTGGCTTTTGTCCTCTCTGCTTACGTGCCTGCTTCATCTTTGGCAGCTTCAGCCTAGTCTCACACCTCTAGTAGATAGATAATGCCAATCTGATTACATAAAAGTCCAAATAGAAAATGGTATAATGTGATCTGAGTTACAGAGAATGGACTGAAGGCAATTGACGTAGTTCCTTTGCTAGAGCTAAGCAAATCTAGACCTTGCCAAGAACTTGCTGAGAGTTTGCGTGACAGCTCAGTGGATTTGCTGTGAACTCCCTGAAGGGCAGGTGGGATACTAATGAAACAAAAAGACTGTATGGAAATCGCATGAAAGTAAAAATATCCTTGCGTGTTTCCTAAGCCCAGGTATATCAAGAGAGAGAGGTACAGGACAATGCTCAGCATGTTCTAAAAGCAGATATCAGACAGACTGACCCAGTCCAGGGGCTTTTCTGAATCCAGATTGATCTAAGAAATTCCACATAACCAGCAGGTACTTCCCTGGCTTGCAGAGCAAACAGGCCCCGCTACAGAAGTCAAAATTAGAGAGGCAGGAAATCAGAGCTGACCAGAGGACAGAGCTGGGAGGAATATCTGACCTTGACATTTCTGCTTTTCTCCCGGCTTTAAGCACAGCTTTGATTTGATTCCTTCTGCAAATAACTGGGCCAACCTGGTATCCCACATTCTCTGCCATCCATTTCCTGGTGCTCCATCCATCTATTGTCTTGAATTAAATTTGCAGCCCATCAATGTTCATATTATTTTTTCCTCCTACCTCACAAGAATACATAACTTACTGTTTCTCCTTCCATTCTTGCTGTCCAGTTCACACCAATACACCAACCTAGGCTTGAATGTATAATATAGTATAATATAATATAAATTAAACCTAAAAACACACTTGCATATACTTCTTGAGTTGCATTAAGCCTTGAAGTAATTACATTTTGGATATGTTTGTGGCCATCTTGCTTTCCTTGATTTGATCCACTGAATATTTAAAACTACAGCATGCCCTCCCTCTCAGAGAACTGATTAATTTGAGTGATGGATAGATGCCAACCTGGATACAATTTATCAGCCAGGGAAACAGGCAGGGGACCTAATTCGCTGCTTAGTGCTGGTGTTGCACTTGCCAATGTGAGGAGGGCAGAAGGTTTAAATTGTTAGTGGCTTATTTTATATATTTATATTTTATGTATGTCCCAGCAAAAAATAGATTTTAAGTATATTTTACTCTGCTGTTTTGTACAGGAAATAGATTAAAAAATACAGTCTAATCAAATTTAATGCTACTCACAAAGCCACCCAGAAGCATTTAGAGTGAAAAATGTTACTTAACATTTGTATAGCGTTTTCCAGTATTCAGAATGCTGCATTTGCATGATTTAGTTGGAAACTTTATCTTACATTATTATCCCCGCTCCCCACATAGGTGGGAAAAAGAGAGACAAGTTCATATAAGGTTACTCCTTAAGTTAATGGCAGAACTGATTCATCAAGCAGGGAATTTCTGCTTCACAGCTCAGCCTTTTCGCCAGTAGCCTGTACAATTTCTTCAACCACGTCATACACAATGATGGCCAAGAAACCCTTCTTGTAATTCAGTCTTTCACCTCTAGCCTAGCCTCCGTCCTTTCACCTCATTGCCTGAACTCCGAACAGCCCTGAATAGAACATGTTCACGGATCAGAAGATGCACGGCACCTTCCCCTCCTGTCTGTGATGTAAATATTGTGCTATCTTGGTTTCATGGATATATACAGGAACAATGTAACAGAGGTGGTGGAAAAAAGGGGAACTTACCTGGGGTAGTTCTTGATGGGGGGGACAGAAAAAGTTTAGAGCAGCGGTCCATAGATTTGATCGTTGTTCTGGTCCCCTCCCCCCCGTCTTCTTTAAATGTTGTAGCATATTATACCCTACTTATTTTCAAAATATGGTATACTGGACCTGCTGTATTTGGGCACTCTCTTGTTCATTGTGCAGAATGGAGCTCTGAACATCTCCTCTAATAGAAGAATTGGTTTGTTTTTTAATTTCTGCAGAAATCATACCAGATGGCTGCCAAGCATCAAATAATGTCTGGTAATGTTTCTTGAAAGACTTCACTTCAGCTCTCTTTCCATGACACTAGCAAGATATTTAGGCAGGCTGAAATACATCATCAGTCTTCCTGAAGACTTGGGCTGCTTTTGTTAACTCCAGTTGAGAGTGATGGGGAAAGCAGTCCCAAATATTATGGCACACCAAACTTGGGAAAAAGTTAATGAAGATAGAAACCCTGGGGATTATTATCTTTTATTATCTTCATTAATTTTAATTTCTAACCAAAGGGCAGGCCATACTAATGAGACTCAACTAGCGAAACTGCTACAGTGGCAACATGATTCAAGGACAATGTTTGTGATGACGTTGGGGTTTACCTGACAGTTGTGAAGATGTCAGTATGTGAGGACATCACACATTTGTCTTTGGAAGAATATTGATATTTTCAGGGAGAGTGTTTGGTGGCCTGGCCTTTCCCAATGTGGAGCCTTCCAGGTGTGTTTGTATTGCAATCTCTAGTAGTATTTTTCAAACTTGGCAACTTTAAGATGTGTGGACTTCAACTCTGGGAGTTGCCAAGTTTGAAAAACACTGCTCTAGTACATTTCACCCAACAGTTTAGTCCATCTCGTCTAACTGAAACCAATGATTTATACTATAACACTCATTTTTCACCTCCTTTGGGTTAATTAAGTCATATTAACCAGGACATTCTGTTTTCCTTTTTTCCTTTCCACAGCTTGTCCACCATCATTTGAATAGCAGTGTGATGCATGCCCTGCCAACACCAAAGTCTCATTCTGAAGACCCTTTCTTCATTGTAGAGACCATTTGCATCTGTTGGTTCTCCTTTGAACTCCTGGTACGGTTCACAGCCTGCCCAAGTAAGCCAGCTTTCTTCAAGAATATCATGAACATTATTGATTGTATAGCCATCATCCCTTACTTTGTTGCCCTTGGTACCGAGCTTGCACGCCAGCGTGGGGTAGGCCAGCCTGCCATGTCATTGGCTATTCTCAGAGTCATCCGGTTGGTGAGAGTCTTTAGAATCTTCAAACTCTCCAGGCACTCCAAAGGATTGCAAATCCTGGGTCAGACGCTTAAAGCCAGCATGAGGGAGCTGGGCTTGCTCATCTTCTTCCTCTTCATTGGAGTCATCTTGTTCTCTAGTGCTGTCTATTTTGCAGAAGCTGATCATGAAAAAACAAATTTCAGCAGCATCCCTGCTGCCTTCTGGTGGGCTGTGGTTACCATGACGACTGTGGGATATGGTGACATGTACCCTGAAACTATTGGAGGCAAAATTGTGGGGTCCCTCTGTGCCATTGCTGGAGTACTCACCATCTCACTTCCAGTGCCTGTCATTGTCTCCAACTTCAGCTACTTTTACCACCGAGAGACTGATTGCGAGGATCACGGTCAATACATCCACATTACAACCTGCCCATATACCCCACCACCATCTCCAGAACTTGCTGCCATCCGAAAGAAGGCTCACAACCAAGAGAAGGCTCAACTTAGGGAGAAACATTATGGGGACAAAGAACTTATTGTGCCCAGTTCAGAGTTTCTAGATGGCATGGTGCCTATGGGCAACTTAGAAGTGCCCAACAGACGTCTTGTGACCCAAGTGTGATCATCTCATCCACCCAAGTAATTCTTGCCTGCTACATGCCTTCCCTTACTTCATCTCAGCATACAGTATTTAACTGGAAAGTTCTGCATAATAAGGCAATGAGCCAAAAGTCTGATCTGATGTTGGACTTAAAAACTAGTAATGGGTTCAGAGATGTGCTTCACCTTAACTGTAGAGGGGGAGGACTTAAATAGATGGATATGTTTAAATTTGGGATGGGGCAAATTACAATGGATTGGCCAAAGGATCAGACTACATAGTAAGAAAAATAAATTAAATTGCAAAGAGGCAGTTCAACAAACACATATTCTACCACACTGTTCTTTCTTTAGTTGGAGTTGCAGTCGATCAAGAAAAAATATCTTTTCTCTACTTCTTTTATTTCCCTCTACTGTGTCACCCACCATCCTTCTGTGACTCAAAAAACCGAGGACATGAAGATGCCTTCATGAAACCACAGCACTGTGTTCTTGGGTTACATCTGCTGGATCGTTCAATGGAACATACCCAGGAGAACCAGACCCCAAATAGCAAGAGTGGGGATAAATAAGGGAATACTATCAGGCAATCATTTTTGATTCAGGGTATCACAGGGAACATTGTCATCATGCTAAGAAGGAACTGTAAATACATCTCTAGGAGAAGACCTGCTGCTGCTGCTGCTGCTGCTGCTGCTGCTGCTGCTGCTGCTGTTGCTGCTACTACTACTATGACTACTACTAGTTTTTCATCAGCCTGCTTCTTTCCTAACATAGGACTCCTTTGCTTAGATTCTACAATAGATAATTTGCCTTCATTTCTCTGGGAATTTACATTAGAAGGCCTGTGCTGTTTTTTTTTAAGCAATAGCAAAACTGTAATGCTTGTATAATTTGTTTTAGAGGTCACTGTCTTTGATTGTGGGTTTTGTTTTGTTTTTGAAATCTAGTACAACCCCCTTCTCATCAAGCAATTCTAACAGCACATTTTTCTGCCTCAGTGTTCACTCCCCTACAAAGAAAGGGGACAATTCAATATTACACTAAATCCAAGGTCAGTCTGGTTAACTATACCCCAAACCAGCCCCACTTAAAAACAGGCAGGGCAAGGCAGCCTGACTGAGTAACAGATCTTGTGTGTGTGCACACGCACACACCTTTGAGTCAGCACTGACTCCTGGCAACTATCTGGACTAGTCCGTCCAATTTTCTTGACCAGATTTTTGGAAGTAGTTTGCACTGCCTTCTTCTTAGGGTGAGAGAGAGTAACTGGTCCAAAGTCACCCAACTGGCTTCATGCCTAAGGCAGAAGTCTTCTAGTTTCTAGCCTGGTGCCTTAACCACTACATCAGACTGGCTCTCCTTAGGGTACCATTAAAGAGCAGCAGCTGATCATTATTTAACCCCTCCTCCATTACTATGTTTTTGTTTTTTTTTACCTGTGGTGCCAAAATATTGTGAGTTGTTCCCCGACAACCCAGTGGTCTTTCCTTACAAATATGTGCAAAAAGAATCCATTATGCTCTTTCATTGCTTTTTATACTTATGGAACAAAAACCCTTCTGCTTCAGTTTAACCATTGTCATATTCATTCAGGGAGAACATGATCCTTTTCCAGATAACTGATAAAAACCTTAGTTTTGAATTCAGGTTAATCTTCTGCTAGCTATAGTCAAGCAGTTTCTTTCACTTCATATACATTAGAACAGCTTTTTCCAACCTAATATCTTTCACATTCACTAGATTACAGCTCTAATCTTTCTGGCTGGAGTTTATAAAAGCTGTAGACCAACAGTTATAGAGGGCACTAGACTGGGAAAAATTGGGTTAGACATGCGCTCTATAAAGGTAATTCTCTTTTTTAGTTGTCTCATGAAATATTTGTAGGGAATGGAAGTGGTTCTGAAAGTCTTAACAAATACCCATCATTAGGGGGAAAAAAAGTAAGACTGAAAAAGAGAAAGACCTCCCTAACCCCTATCTCCCAGCCACTTTATTTGTCTTAATATAATTTGTATTCCACTGGTCTTAAAATGAGAGAAAGGGAAAAGTTTACATTTTTAGTCAAACAGCAGCACTTTCTCTCAATTATAATTTGTTTTATTTTAAAAATAGGGCAAAAAGAACTATACTAATGAAAAATATAGCTTCTTGAGCTCAGTTAAGCTTAAAGGACAGAGGGTGAATAAGTGAATATAAACGGTAGTGTGAGTGGTACAGGTGAGTACAGAGGCTACAGATAACTCAACAGAAATACAATACAATAGAATTACCATAGCTACAGTTAAACTCTTCCCCTGCCCATTTCTTTGATCAGCATTTTAATGACAAAGTTATGTTATGTAAATTTTTAATTACCTCGTAAATAATGGATATGTTGTAACAAGAGTTGATTACATTTATAGTCTAGTTTTTTCCAGTTAATGGTGGATATGTTAATTAATTATTGTACGCCCCCCAGAGTCACTTCCGGTGAGATGGGCAGCCATATAAATTAGATTAATAAATAAATAAAGAGTGGGCAGGATAGGGTGAGCAGATGCAAAGGAAGACAGGATTCCTGCATCTTCCTCTTGGAAAAGGGGAAGGTTCAAGCAAGTGGAGCTGGCCAGGCCAGAGTGAACATAAGAATAAGAGCCTGCTGGACCAGACCAAACATCTATCTGTCCCAGTATCTGTTTCCCACATTTTCCAAGTAGATAACCCTTAGAACAGCACCAACAGATTTGAGCAACAGCTCCTGTCCTGTTGTGCTATTCTGAGCAGTGGCATTTACCTCCCTTAGTGTTATTTGTGGCCATCCTGAGTTGTCACCATCATCTCCAGCCTTGCCCATGCTGGTGCTGTCTAAATAAGTTGGATTTTAGCTCCCATAAAACCCGTATGTTTGGGAGTTGATGTCCAGTGCTTCAGAAAATGCACCTGACTGGGCCAGGCTGGACTTGGCATTAAACCAACTCTTTAATAGAGTTGTAACACATGAGCAATATAATTGACTTTTTAAAAGAATTCCTGTTTTCTACTAGTACACAGAAGAAATGAGCAGAGCATAAACACTACAGAATTTTAATTTTAAGCTTAATGACAAGCTATGGTTAAAACAAGATTTGTAAATAAATAGTGTTTGTTGCTGAAAAATAAGACAAATAAATTACATTATGGCTAACTGTACTGCAAGAACCCTGCCTATAAATTTGTCTCTTCTTAAAACTAGGGCTTCTTATCATCTTGTGGCAGGAAATTCTACAGATTAATTAAGCATTGTTTAAAGAAGTTAATTTTATTTGTCCTAAATTTCTTGCAAGTTGGTTTCATTGGATAACCTGATATTCTACGATTATATTTGTGTGCGTGCGTGAGTGTGTGTGTGTGTGTGAGAGAGAGAGAGAGAGATTGAGAGAAGAAGAATCTCTATCTGCCTTCTGTTCATCATGCAAAGGTATGCTTATTGCAGTGAAAGTGACTGCAAGAGGGAAAGGATTATTCAGGTGAGAATTGCCACCTTGACAATCATAGATGCTCTGTGGGAAGGAATCTCAAAGTTATATGATATGTAGAAATTCAATCATGTAGCTCTTTAGTACAATGCTTCTGCCAAGAACATAGGTGACAACCATCTCTGTTAGCAACTAGAGTTCTATCTATGCCAGCTGTAATTTAACCATTTTGAGTAGCATGTAATTTCTCTATGTAATTCTGGTAACTGAAGTGTAATTTATGCCCAGAACAGTTGCACTGTAGTTGCTAACCACAGTCACACTGGCTATATTTGTAAATGTTACCATCCAGAAATGTATTTGCAATTATTACTCAACTGTTGTGGATATATGAGTACAGTAAATGCTTAGAAAATAATTCTAACTTGGAAGAAAATAAGGTATGCGGGCATTCTGAAAACTGGGATCCAGATGGAAGCTGCTGCAACTTTGTTGGATAATGAGGTAATTATCTATACCTGTTGGATGAGAGTTAGGGAATCTGTTGCCCTCCTGGTGCTGCTGAAGGGCAACTTCCAACATTCCTCATGATTAGCCTTGCAAAAATTCATCAATATCTGGAGGGCCACAGATTCTCCACCTTTGATCTAGACCGATGAACCTTACATTCAGCAGCATAACATGGGAGTGTCCTGTTTTTCTGGACAGTACCACCATTGTTTAAATCTCCACAATAATTTTCTTCTAGCATATAATAATTAGGCATTTACAGAAAAAAGTATTTTGGACTAGCTTTCGCTAACCTTCTCTTCCATAATGGTATTGGATCCACTGACATGGTAAAGTAAATGCTTCACTGTCTATAGTTTCTTCAGTTAAAAGTGACTGGCAGATTCATCAGCATCGATCTCAAGTGTTATCATGCATTATATGCTGCCATATTCAAAACCATATTGGAAGTGGGCAGTGGGATCTTTCAGGCAGATCTGCACCTTTGGGTGCAGCTGGAAAACCTCCCGCTTGAACATTTGGAGGGCCACAGCCAGTCAGCTTGAACAGAATTGCAGGCACCTGTGCTGCCTCCTTTCCCACCCACTGGAGCCTTTCCCCCAGGCAGAGAGGCCAGTAAAGTTGCAACCTTGATGAAAGTGTAGGAGGAAAAAGAGGAGATGTGTATTTTGGAGCTCTGCAACCACCAGCAAAGAGAGTCCAGCAGCCAAACAAAAGAAGGTGTTTTTCCTTCAGAAGAAACAGATGGTCCAAAAGAGAGGAAAAGCAGTATAGAGTCTCAGCAAGACAAAGCACAACGTAAAAAAGGTGCGAGAGCTCTACGTGTTGTCCATTAACAGAAAAAGAAGAAATTTCAGAAAAAGGGGACTTAAGACAGAACAGGCTCAAGAAAGAAGTGTTGATGCGTACTAGTCTGCTGTACCGTAC